TATTCAGTGTATTCTGAGTTAAGTATTCTGTTGGGGAGAGTGCACAGTTAGGCACTATGTACCTCTGAGCCAACTTTCCATTGAGAGAGTTTACAAACAAGTAGCTAATCACAGAAATATTAGGCAATAGGAACAGAGATATGAAAGAAAAGGAATAGAAAAGCAGAATAGAACCAGGAGGGCAATCCAGTAAATACAGAATTTGGCCATGTTTATTTTCCATATACTTATATACCCCAATACAAAAGTGGGGGGGGCATGGGAAGGCAAAGGACTACTTTAACATGATACAAAGGACAAACAGAGCAATTACCTATTTCAATACCTGAAGTATCAAACAACTATATCCTGAGTTAATTATTCTGTTGTTTAGGCAGGACATGCAAGACCACACCTTAGACCAAGCATCCTGTAGCCAGCCACTCTCCTGATCAAGCCTACTGTTATATTCTTGAAGAAGCAGGAATAAGCTTGGATTCTCTGACCTTTGGTCAATCTGGAATGGATCCACTACTGTGGGCTCCCACAACCTTGTTCTACCCTGAGAGGAGAACACTATTTAGAAAAGGACCATAAGAGAGTCACTGATATAATAAGAGTATTGGGACACTGCCCTGTTCAGTATTCTATTGCCATGAAGAGATGTTGTGATGATGACAACTCTTATAAATTAAAGCAGTTAATTGGGACTTGCGTGCAATTTCAGAGGCTTAGTCTATTATTGTTGTAGTAGGAAGCATGGTGTCATGCAGTACAACATGGTGCTAGAGAAGAAGCTGTGAGTTTTACATATGAATCTTCAGGCAACAGAAAGAGAGAGACACTAGGCCTGGCTTGTTCTTTAAAACCCTTAAAGCCCATCCCTAGTAACATATTTCCTCCAACAAGGGCAAACCTATCCAATAAGGCCATACCCCCAATCCCTCTCAAGTAATGCCACGCCCTGATGACTAATCATTCAAAATATGAAACTATGGAGATCATTTCTATTCAAACCACCACAGAAAGGAAGTCACCAACGACAAACAGTTTAGCTGACAAAGTCATGGAAATAACACAGACCTGTACTGATGAGGAAGAAACACTCCCTCTCATCCTTAGCCACCACATCCTAGCAAAACCTCCCTCTTTGTTTCCTCACTCTCAACCTCTCTCTTTATTTCCTCATTCTCGTCACTGTCCCTCTTGCCTAGAGTTAGATCACTGTAGTGCCTGCTCATCGTAGTTCTCCCAAAGCCTCATTCCTTCTAATGCATTTAATAAGTCACTAAGAGCTCTTCCAAAATAGACTTAGAATAAGTTCAATGCGGTCTCAAAAGTTCTTCATATATTCTGCATAGCTCAGAAAATATGACTTATTGTGTAAAATGTCTGTTTCATACCCCAACAGCCTGAGTTCACAGTGGAAGGAGAGAACTCTGGAAATATTACCTCCACATGTACATCATAGCACATTCTCTATCCCCCCCTTTCTCTCTCTCACTTGTCTGTCTGCTTATCTATCTGTCTGTCTATCTATCTATCTCAATCTATCTCTATCTCCCCCCTCTCTCTCTCTCTCTCTCTCTCTCTCTCTCACACACACACACACACACACACACACACACACACACACATAAAAAAATGTCTTACTGCTGATCCTGATATTTGAGGCTCTGCAGGCTGAAATATGAGTCTGTCTTCAGCTCTTTGTCTTACTCGGTTTTTCTCTCTACCACACACTCTATCCTATGAGAAATGGCTCACTGTTTCCAACTACTTTCCCTATATTCCATCTCATACATCCAGGTTTCCTCTACCATATCTGTCTTTAACACCCTACCTCTGTTTTAAAGCTAATTTAGAATACCTCACTGAGGCTGGAGTGCTAAAAGCATAAATGATCCCCAGTTGTTTGTTACCCTCATGCATACATGCAGCTGTTCATTGATCTAGCTAATACTTAATGAGTAACTTTTCATGTGTCACTTAACAATAAGGTGTGTTCTGAGAAATGCATTTCTAGGTGATTCCATAACTGTGAAAACATCATACTTTCCTAAACTAAGTTAGTTATGGCATCATTTACCAATACACTCCATAGGATAACCCGAAGACAATTTTACTACTGGCAAGTCCTCTGTCAATTTGTATGCAGCTATACCACTAAAAACTGACACCTAAACCATACAGAGTTCATGAAAAGTCATTGCACTGAAGAATCACCATGGCTGACTAAACAGATACATCACTGAACAGTTCATCCTCATTCGACTTTCTACCTTTTGCACATTCTTGAGAAGGTAACAATTTTGTGACGATCTTATAAAGACCCATGAGACCTGTGAGCTTCATGAGACCCATAACCCTTAACCACTGTGAGCATTGTGAGCATCTCAGACCAAACTTCTGCCTCCTAGCCTGTAGAACAGAAAAATCTATGACGAGATAAAATGCACTTTGAGATAGAGAAAAAATGTCAGGGTATAAGTAAGAGTTATCCAATGGCAGAGATACAGAGAAGGGAAGTGAAGGGGGCAATCATATAGAAATATATGTTCATTGGAGGTTTAGAAAATTGGATGACCTTTTTGAGAAAACATCCAACATATTCTATGTGAGAATCCAGACTTACAGGATGCATGTGTCCAAGGCTAATAGAGTCACAAAAATGTCAAAAAGGAAGTCCAAAAAAGCCATCATACTGCTAACTAACTTGTAGCATGAGCATCTAACACCTTAGTAGCCTGACAATGAAAACTCCACCTTTTCGTAATTCTTGATCTTCAGAGTAACGAATATTTGATCTGGAAGAGTACACAAATATTTTCCCTCTAAGCTCAACATGCTCCAAGTATGTAGTGGTCACAGTTCCTGGTAAAACCGGGTTGATTATGTTCTTGTCTCTGTTCCTGACATTTGAGAAGAACTAAGAGTCGAGTTTAATGGAATATTCAATCAGAATTTCATGTACATTCTGCTGATGTCAGTGGGTTGGCATTAATTACAATGAGAAAAGAATACCTGATGTATCAGGAAGAAAAATCAGCCATGTGGAACAGCACACAGCCTCAAGTTTAGATACGAATTCTGAATCTTAATTCAGAAAACCTGATGTTAATAAAATCAACACCATGAAAACTTTTTGACCTTCAGATAAAGCCTTGCTGGTGTTTTACATTTATTCCACAATATACTAGAAACAAAGAAAGTATATGCTTGCCTCCCTGAGATCTTGTTCGTTCTCTCGTATTTTATGGGGAAATGTGTTTCAGTTTCTCAGCAGTACTTTCAGAATGGTGTGACCAAGTCGTATTTCTTTGGATTGCAGATTATCTGAAATGATCATCTTTTCATGTACAGTGGATATTAGAAAGGCTATGGATGTTTTCATGCTGTATAAAACTTCCTCCAATAACCATCCCCTAGTGATATATTTTAAATGAATAACCCATGCAACTCATACAGAAAATCGTCTCATTCTAACAACCCAAAAGCTCAGTGTTCTAGAAGTTCTTAGTACTATAGACAGACTTACAGCTCATCTTGCTCACATATATGTTCATGTAGACACAAATTCAACACACACACCTATTAAACACTCTCAGATACTTAACTGATCAGTAGATTCTGAAATACAGGGAAGACAGGTAGAAATAGAATAAATTATAGGTTGTGAAATGAGTATAGAGAAAACCATAGAAAATAATATAGAACAAGCATAATTATGAAGCCAAAAAGACTGGAGCCAAAAGGGAAAAGGGCAACCCAGAAAATATTTGCCAAAATTTTTTTTCCTAGAAAAAGTTTGGATGACTAAGGAAGTTTGAAAGGGCGAGTAGGCTCAAGCCTGAGTTCTCTAAAGCACCAATACATAAAGCTAGTATTCAACACTATACCAATAAAAATCTCTCCAACAACATGATAGAAACTCTGTTTCAAAAATAAACAGAGAAAAGAGGATATAAAACTGAATGGGTGGATGAAAAGTAAACGCTAAGACCAAACAGAATTATACATTTCAAAAGAGGACTGACAAATTATATGACAGTTTTAATTAAGATATTATGAATTACAGAGTGGTTTTTTGTAGCCTTTTATTAGTTTGATTTCTGCATTTATTCACTTTCCAAACTATTTATCAGGAGCAAAGTATTTTACTAACTGGTAAGATAGAAATAAGTGTGTTAATTTTCTATGTAACGTACCCAAATGGTACTGGTTTAAAAAGAACTCAAGAGTGGAGCTCAGAAGATACGAGGCTGATTATTAATCAGTTGCTCTGTAACTGGGTAGATTTGAGCAAGTCATTTGATATCTGTAATAATATCATTACTTGCCAATAAACATGTACTCTATATCACATATGTCCCTGGGCACATTGTTCATGTTATTCCATTTAATATTCCCATCAATTAAGTATATCAGCATTAATCTATAGTGGTATGGATGACAACATTATGTCTTAAAGAAATCAAATAACAGCCCAAATTGCAGTCAGCAAAGGACAGAAGTCAGGGAAAGTCTAGGGTCACTCGTGTGCCTTCTAATATTTTCCCCTATCAAACTAAAACTTCAGGTTAAGGTATACTGTAGTTCTCAAACTTCCATTCAGAATATGAATTCCCATGAAACCAGGACTCCATTAGGTGTGTGTGTGTGTGTGTGTGTGTGTGTGTGTGTGTGTGTTTGTATTAGTGCTTATAGCACATACTTAAAACTCAGAGTACCTAGAAAGGATGCTGATTTCACATCTTCAAGAGGCATCAACACAATTCTCAATGCCACCACCTCAACTGACTTTTCTTTGACGTTTGAAGTGAGCTGTATTTAAGTTTTGCATTCTACTTCATAGCATCAAATATGTGTTTTAAACATGAAAATATTTTTTAATAATTTCAGTGGTTTGAATAGTAATGAACTATTAAACTTTTAATGAAACCTCTTTTCCATTACTAAACACTTGAGTGAACTTAACCTTTAGGAAAGAGTTAGGCTACACCTTGGCAAAGGGCACATACCTAAATGGCTTCTGCAATCCCAGTAGCTTTGAGATGTTCTGCCTTCAGAACAGAGCAGTCTGTCAGACACAATCAAACAAGGAAAACATCGGATGAACTCCCTTTGTTCCAGACGTGGTGATTTTATGCCTTCAGTCTGAAACTACATTAGGGTTTCTGGCAGCTGAAATAAATTGGCTCATTTTAAACTTGTAATGGACTAAAAGCCCTAGATCTGTTTTATAAAAACTATTGCAAAACAGGCATTCCCATATTATACTGACATATTTTTATTTTTAACATGCATCCAGGATTTTCTATTTCGTTCTTAATAAAAAAAAATCAGTCAGTCTCAATTCATCACACCCGAGTTTTTCTCTACTCCTTTGTGTCATCAATCACAGTAGCCATTTTTCCTGAAGGAAAATTTAGATATGTTCCTAATATATTCATATATGGTATGTATTACAAAAAATATGCAGAGTTCAAAACCCTAGACACAATCATCTGGGATAATACATGATGCTTCTGTCTGAAAGAGAAGATTTAACTCAGAAAAACAACCTTACAAAACCCTTGGACAAGTGTGAGACATAGATTTTTCTAATTAGCCAAGTCTATATTCATGTGTGAATACAGATCCACACACTCATATGTACACATGTTTTATCCTCAAAACGATTGTTTAACCTCTTTTGAGATATGATCTCTCAATGGGTGACCTAACACTTACCCATTAGGATAAATTGACTGACCAGCAATTCCCAAGAATCTTTTGGTCTTCCCCCTCTTCAACAATCTGATTATAGACAGAAACATGCTGCCATGCCTGGCACTTTTACATAAAGTCTGGACCTCATGCAAGAACTTTATCCACTGGGCCATTTCTTCAACCTGAGACATTTTTTTCAATACTAAATAGATTATCTATAAAAGAAGATCGCCTGACAAAATTGGGAGCACGGGGGCAGGGGTAGAAGGAAGGGGAGAAGGGGACAGTTGAAGAGAGCTTGAGGGAATGGGATAGTCAAGATGGAGGAAGGAGAGATATGAGAGCAAGGAAAGAGATTTTTTTTATTGAGGAAGCCATTATGGGGTTAGCAAGAAACCTGGCCCTAGAAAAATTCCTGGGAATCCACAAGGATGACCCCAGCTAAAACCCTAAGCAATAGAGGAGAGTGTGCCTGAACTGGCTTTGCTCTGTAGTCAGACTGATGATTATCTTAAATATCACCACAGAACCTTTGTCCAAAAACAGATAGAAACAGAGGCAGAGAACCACATCAGAGCTCTGGACTGAGCTCCCAAGGTCCAGCTGAAGAGTGGAAGGAGTGAGGATATGAGCAAGAAAGTCAGGACTATGAGGGGTTCACCCACTGAGACAGTTTGCCTGAGGTAATGGGAGCTCAGCAACTTCAGCTGGACTGGGAGTGAATGAGCATGGGATCAAACTAGTCCCTCTAAATGTGGTAGACAGTTGGGGCAGACTGAGAGACCACTGACAGTGGCTCTGGGATTTGTCTCTACTGCACGTACTGGCTTTTTGGGATCCTATTCTTTTTGGATGTATACCTTGCTCAACCTAGATGTAGTAGGGAGGGCCTTGGACTTGCCACAGAATAGTGTGCCTTGTCCTCTCTTAGGATTGAAGGGGGGAAAGGTGGGAGGATCTGAGGAGGGAGGAGGAGGAGGAGAAGGAGTGGGAATTTGGATTGGTATTTTTTAAAAGCAATAAAATAATTTAAAAAATGAAAAGATTGTACACACTAAATCAGAAAAACCAACAATAATCCATCAACATGTTAGTTGTTCTTTATGAATTAACCACCTGTGTCTCCCTCTATTTTGACCATAAGATAAAAGAAATAACATTGTTATTGATTATCAGCTATACTAAAATGAAAGTCTCTTGTAAATAACTGGGGCATTTCTAATTTTTAATTAGGTTAATATAGCATTATTTAGAGGGTTTGTATTGTTTTACTACCTTTTCTAATATGTCAAAAATAATTAGATTTTCTTTGGAAATTATCGATTATTTCTGTAGTGTAACAGTTTTAGGATTTGCATTTTTTTCGTCTCTCTTAAAATTGAGAGCAAGTTTATCTTTGCATAGCAGAGTATCTTTTCCTCCAAACTCCTACCTCTGCAAATTCAGAATTTTCTACTGTTTTTTATTCAATACTGCACAAACTTCCTTCATATACACCAGAGGACATTCTCTGCCAAGGCAGCCTGCTAGTCACCTGAGTAGGCCAGGACTTTCCCTGAGGAATCCCAAGGAGGCAGCTAGTCTTGTAGGTAGATTTCTTAGCTTGGGTAGATCCTGAGGCATGTTCACAGTCTCTTGGGCCAACCTAGATAGAATGAGACAATTTCAACATCAGAAGTATTGAATCAACAAGTGTACTTCTGCTTGTTCTCCTCCCTACCAGCCTCATCCCATACTTCTAGGCTGTGATTTTCCCAGAGGCTTCCCAAATCTGCTTAACCTATAACCTTACATATGAGAAATAAAGAGAAGATTAAGAGTAAAGCATTTTCTCCAGTTTCCTGGTATGTGACTTTTCTGTAACCAATGGCAAGGGCCAGATGCCCAATAACATCACTATTGCTTTCTTTATACACAGAGATAATTCACTGTACTTACACTCAAGAAAGCATTGTAAACCTGCATGGAGATCATGTCTTACAGCATCCTGACTCTCTTGTCCCTCAAAGGAGTCAAGCTGCCTGTAGCTTTTGTAGTTGTTCTTCTAGCTACAGACAGTCAGTGACTGCTGAGACAGAGGGATAAGTTTGCTCTAGGGAAAAGAACCCGAGTAAGTAATCCAGTTCCAAGTGATCTGCCTAGATACCTTAGAAACAATGATAAAAGAACTCAATAGGCTGCATTGCATGTGTATGTACATATGTGTATATACATGTGTCACAAGTGTCACTAATAACTAAAGAATAGGCCATTAATTTGGGAGAAAAAAGGAGAGATTCAAGAGTATTTGGAGAGGGAGAGGCAGGGGTGCTATAGAAGCAGTACTTATGCATAAAGTTCTCAAAAATTTAAAATTCCTCTTCTCAATGGAAATGTGGGAGGAAAGCTAAGCAAGATTGTCTTTTCCTCTCTTGAGATACTTCAAGGTCACAATGAGAATCTTTCCCAAGAAACTTGAGATTTTAAAAAAAGAATGCAGTGTTAAGACTGAGCAGTGGCCAAATAATGAACGTTAAATCAACTATCTATATGATAGTTGCCACCCATTCATAATATTTAAAGTAATTAAGAAGCTTGGCGAGTATTCAAATTGAGTTTTGTCAATCAAATTTTTAAAATGTAAAAGGAGCAGTGGGCTGCTGTTTGTCTCGCCCGGCTCCTGGCTGCCTGCCTAGCTTTACCCGAAATAATTACATGGAAACTGTATTCTTTTAAACACTGCCTGGCCCATTATCTCCAGCCTCTTATTGGCTAGCTCTCACATCTTGACTAACCCATTTCTAATAATCTGTGCAGCACCACAAGGTAGTGGCTTACTGGGAAAGATTCAGCATGTATGACCTGGCAGCTGGTTCCATGGCATCTGACTGACTCTGCTTTCTTTATCCCAACATTCTGTTCTGTCTACTCTGCCTATCTAAGCTGCTGTCCTATCAAAAGCTAAGGCAGTTTCTTTATTAGCCAATGAAAGTAACACATAGACAGATGACCCTCCTACCTCATTAAAATCCAATCAAGAATTCTATTAGTCTGTCAGCACACACTCGCTTAGGTGTTTATATGGATGAGACACTGTACTATAATATATGTGTGTGTGCTTGTGTGCGTATGTATGTATGTGTGTATATTATATATGTGTATGTAGTGCTTGTGTGTCACAGAGAGAGAGAGCACAGAACAGGTGTGTCTGTACTATCAAGGAACTTAAAGCTAGAAGGAAAGAGTTGAACTTAAGCATGGGCAGGAACTTTCTACTCATCTTCACTCTAGATTGAGTCAAGTAAAATTGAATTTCTTTGGGAACTCTCTCTTCTAAGTACTACATTACTCTGCATGAGCCATGGTCCATAGGAAACACATTATGTTACACCACATTAATATTTAATTCATAGCCTAGATCTCAGAGTTTCTAATGGATGGGCACTATTTCTCCCCCATACATTGCCAGCCAGATGGTGAAAGGAGCAGAACATCCATCCCCATAGCTCCATCTCCCCCTCTCCCACTGGGATGCTCCATGTAGAAGAACAATGTGAATAGCTCTTTGTCAAAGGTTCAAGAGATGAGACACTGGCAGCAGAGGCATGGAGGGTAATGTGCTGAGTCTTTGTTGGTCCACGTGGGTTCCAGCCAGATTACCCTGCAAGAACAAGTGTATAGATCATGGTTACCACTAGTCTTGGGCAGGACGATATGAACGAACCTTCCTCTGAATCTGCCACATGAAAATCTAGTCTAAATACTCCTAACTCTAAGATGTACAAAACCCTGAGAAGCAAGAATCCCCAAGGTTCATGTGATAACTGAGGCAGACTTAAGGATGTGTCACTCTTGATGGGCACAACGCCTGTTTTGGCAAGGCACAAATATGTTTGCTACAAATGTTTGCTACATGTTATCCCACATAGACACATATAATAAACTTTTCCATGAAATTCAGTTTAAACAATCCATCTCTTTTAGAAAGTTGAACTAAACACGTTTGTTAAAAAAAAAGAAAGAAAACCTGCTTCCTGCTATTTAATATTATTGAAGTGAGTCAGGGGTAGCATTGTTGTATAAATAGGATATATTGGCATTCTATTTGCTATGGAAAATTACTTATGGAACCAATGTACCATAAGTACATTTCACTCCTGTACCGTAGTATGCCTGTGGGATTTATGAGACAATAAAAGGGGATAAAAGCATTTTTTTCTGCTCCTCTGGTAGTTCTTTGGCCTGAAGAGAATTATTTAATTTTATTGAAGCTCAGTTTCTTTCTTCTCAAAACAATTTCCAAAAGAATTGAGTTCCATGATGCATTCTGGATACCTGGCCTGCAGCTGGCATTTGGGAGTATCTGGAGGAAAATAGGGTTCTACTGGAATTACAACAGTTATACCCAACAACGACACGGAACATGTGCCACTACTATGGGCTCTTGCAGATTTTGTTCTTAGGTCTGGTAGTCTGCTTACAGGAGTGTTTCCCACTAACTATCATTGCTAAATATTCTCAGGGTAGTTGAGATTTGTATGCATATACGGTGACAAAAAATCAACAATAATCTCAATATAATATACTGTGTTATTGTGCCAAGCTAAGGATTCTGGTCATGTCTACAGACTTTACTATACATGTAGGTTTTTCTGTCCTAGAAGAAGGCCTGAAAGGCTAGATTTACTCAACCAGAGAAGTCTTCTCAGGGCATAAAGTTATCTAGGAGATGGTGTTAATAGTGTCATCTACTCTTATGAAATTTTAATCTTTATCCAGCTTCTTTTTGAAGTATAACATATCATAAATGTAAATCTTTCAAATATGGATTTTTCTGGCAATGCTAAATGTTGAAGGAAAAGAAATAATTCATGTCCAAGACAAGAAATGCTTAATACATAAGTCAATGCCTAGATAAGTGATCCTTCAAAGCCAAGAATTACTGTATCTTTGGCTTTTACTTTTCAATCACATTATGGTAACACTTTTTGTCAAAAAAAAAAAAGAGAGGGACTGTTTAAGAAGACAATCGTTTTATTGGTTTCCTCCCCTCACTGGAAGCTGTGATAATTAGCAATAAAATTAGGCCCAATTAAAACGGAACCGAAAAAAAGAAAAAGAAAGAAAAAGAAAAAAATAAAAAAATAAAAAAATAAAAAATAATAAAAATAATAAAACGGAACCGACTGAAATGAGACCATGCCATGTCTTTGAAATAAAAATTAAACACAAGATACAATAAGGCAAAATGCTGTACTTACTCAGATTTATGACCACCAAATAAAAGCTTTTTGTTGGTTTTCTAGATGATTAAATACCAGAGGATAGGAAGTTTGGGGTGTTGTTGTTGTTGTTTTTCTTTTATGAAACCCACAATAATGCCATTTTAATGCAGAAAACTATCCAAATCTATAAATTAACACATCTCAAGGAAAGTATTCTGATACTGTAAGAGAAGACATAGACAAAATATCTCAAATTGCAGCATTTGAAGTTGCAAAAAACATTAATATGAGAGCCAGGTCGGGAGGCCATTTAGTGATAGGAATCTTGCTCATCTGTGTGAGGTCCTGGATTCAAACCACAGAAAAGAACAAAAGAAATGAAACCAAAATAGTAAAGATCAATGAATCATTAGTAGAGAGAAAACGATTAGGAGCTGTCTAATTCTTTGAATGTATTGGTATTACTTTACTGACATCAAAGCAGATCAGAATTCCTCATTCATTATCCAAAATTGTAGATAGTCTCTAAACATACAGAAGAAAAACTTCCACACACTGGTTTTTATGAGCCAGTCTGTGGCTCAGTGTGACCATGTCCACTAGTCATATAGGTACTTGAGAAAACTGTTATCTTGTCATTTGATTACCTGGGCTTTTGAGAACTAAGGCCTCAGGCGTTTTTCTTTTCCTTTCTTTTCTTTTTTTAGCTTCTTCCATCTCTTGAATGGTAACTACATGCTTTTCTCAGTTTTCATTCTATAGATTAATGTAATAGTTTGTCTTTGAGAATTCCATATATGCACACCATGTATTTCAATTGTATTCACTTCCCATACCCACTCTCAAGCTTTTCCTGGACCCTGGCCCATATGTCCCACTTCCAACTTCATATTCTCTCTTCACACACACACACACACACACACACACACACACACACACACACACCATGTATACACATGTGCATGCACACACATACATATACATATACCACTGAGTGTCTATTAGTACTGTTCATATGTTCATGGTATAGCATAGTCCATCGACCAGTAATTCTACCTCTAAAGAAAATTTTCTCTTTTGCGTGACAGTCACCAGTTATCAATAACTCCTCAGGTAAGGGTGGGGGAGTCCCACGTACCTCCCCATCCATGTTGAAATTTTCACTGCCTGGATCTTCTAAAGTTCTTGTTCGGGCAACAGCAGCTGCTATGATTTCTTTGGTTCAATGTTTCTGTCATTTCCAGAAAGCTGTTTGGTGTTGGGAGAATTGTCTGTATTCTGTCAATCATATTTTAATAAAACGCTGATTGGCCAGGCAGGCAGTATAGGCGGGAAAGCCAGACAGGAAGTAGGGGTGGAGCAAAGAGACTGGGAGTATTCTGGAAAGCAGGAAACTCCCTTGCCACTCCTGGGCAGACCACCGAAGAGACAGGATGCAACCTG